TGGGGCCTTCTACTGTGCGGACAGACGACGCCATAAATGAAACAAACGACGCTTAGTGGGTTAAAACGACGATTTATGACAAAATCATTTTCACTCTTTTTTTGGCATTCAGAAGGCCATTTAGCGGAAATGGACTATAGTTCTGCACTCAGTGCTCATGCCCCTACACCATGCAAAAAACCATTTTCGAAAAGGGTCCCACGCCCTGAAAGACCTTCCTTGTAAGATATGCTCAATATTTGACTGTTATTACAATCATTCTTTGAAGAACCGTTCGAAGAACCGGATGCGGTCGATCATTATATCGTTGACGGTGTCACTCATGCCATATGGTGGACCGATTCTGGTTCTGAACTTGTTTTCGTTTTACCTACGGAACGAAGTCTGCGAGCCTTCAAGCAAGATTTGTCGTCACCAGCGGTCAGCTCAAGAAGTATGTACTTTTACTTTATGGTTTTTTTCGGATTCCATAAGATACTACGACCTAATTTGAATAGTACTATGATTGGTAACTTTCTCATTTAGGAGGATCAAGTAAGACGCCTTCTGCAATGTCGGTCTCGTCAGAAGATGCCAAAGGAGATAACTCATTGTCGGTTTATTTTGATTGCCATGTTTCCCTCAATAATATATTTTTCTGCAGGTCTGCGGAAGTATTCCACGAAACTGCTCGTAAGAAGACAAGCAGCTCCATAGGTGGTAGTGAGAGAGAAAAAGAAGGGTTGTTCTCTTATGGAGGAGGCGGATCCAGCATGGGTTAGCATTTTTCGTTCATCATTCTTTGGAGTGATTAGTTTTCATATTCTTTGTTTTGTGGACTATTTTGCATTTATTTGTTGTGCTCCGAGTGCCATTTCAACACAACATTCTTGCCGATCAGTCCAATTGAAATTGAGATTCACCATTCACTTGCTCAAAGCATTCATTTTGAGGTCTAGACCATAGGAAGTTTCTCAATTTCTACATCTTATTTCTAATTCCTTCCAGTTTCTTTTACTACATGTTTAACGTTTGAAAATCTTATTCGGAAAGTTAGTTGAGTGGCAAAGGACGTGGTTTGCTGCTGAGAAATGTAACGCGACACAAGTGAATACCTTTGTTCAGGTAATGCTCCGCCAACGCGAAAGAGTGCAGAAGTTCGAGTAATGCTTGTATGGTTGGAGCGTGCCGAGGACATGCTTCATTTCCCCGTCGGTATGTTTTACGAGTTAGTATCGAATTGAATTCATATTTTACACTTTTTGCTTTGATATCTTGTTTCTTTATAGGGTGGATATTATTCGAACTTCATTGTTTGAGTTCTTCTTTCATTTCTAATCGTTGTTTCGATATCCTTTTTTTTCTTACTTTTTTTTGCCAAAACCCAATTTAATAGCTGATTTTTAGCCAAAATTTTTGTCTCATAAAATCCTAGTACCGTATTCACTAGGACTGTTTTGATTGCCTTTTCATTCTCCTCTATTCTTCAAGACTTTGTGACTCTTCTTAATAGGACCTCTTCGCTCATTCATAATCATGGGTTGTTCCGGGTGGGTACACATACATGGATAACACATTTTACCATAATAGACTGCTTGCTCCCTCTTGCTTTGCTTTCAACGTGCACCTTTGTTCTTAGATTCTATGTTATCATTTTATCCTCGGTGTTGTATCTTAAAAAAGGGCTGATCAACCTTTCTATTCTAACCACATATGTTCTATAAGTCTTCCGCATCTTCTGCGAACTTCTCACTCAATCTCTGCCTTCGTTCCTTCTGACAAGATCCATAGCTGTTTCCACACTTTGAATTAATTTTTAGATATTCCCAATTGTGAGACGTCTACTACCGTTTAGAAGCCCATTTTTGTGCTTGTGGACGATTTTTTCTTGTTTTTTTTTTGTTTTCTTTGAAGGCTTGCCCTTCTATTTTAATTTGTGAACAGTATAGTACAGATCGGAGTGGTTTGTATCGTTCTGTTGGAGTGTACGTAAGATGCTGTTCAGAGGAGCTGCTGAGTGCGTGTGATGATGGTGGCGACCGAGTCTCGAACTCTGCGAACGAGCGGCCAGGTCACTTGGCGATCTTTGTTCACCAGGTGGAACCTGGATTAGTGAATATTAGAACGAAAGGCACAGCAAATAGGTTTGTCTCCTTTTTTAATTCCTATAACCTTCTCACCATTCCCATTATTATGAAAAGGTAAAGCCTATGACGTCGTAAACTTAAATTTGGGATGAGGCCACGTATTCCATCTCTGTTGGAAATCGTAGTGGCGTTGGAATGCATATTTCCTCCGTACAGGGACTTTTGGAGTTGCACAAATTAGTGCTTTCATACTCCCAAGCCTGTCTGGCAGTACTACCACATTTTTTCCGTGACCATTTCAAGGACCCTCACGTACGACTTTGCCACCTCGAATGTTAAGAGCATAGTTCGTTCGATCTTGGCAGGCGAACTGTAAACGTATTGAGGGCCCATTCATAGATGATGATGTGAACGTGTGCGACTCATTAACAGGTGACCAGCAATCTTCGCTTGAAACCTCCTTTCGATTACCTTTTTTTGCAACGATAACGTCACATATCGTCTCCCTCTCACATTCTTATAGCCGAGCCCGTTCTACATATTCACGAGCAGTGTGCCTTTTTAAGACGCATTTCAGTCTTACATAATTAAAATTTCTAAAACTTCCACTTTTTGTGTTTGCAGTAGAATTACCTTCAGACTGGCTACTTCCAATACCGGATGTTTTACCCATGACTCATGACCTATTCAAGCTACATGTCAGGAAGGATGAGTTGTGCATGTTATGAAGGCTAGGCAAGGGGTCGCAGGTGTTTATTCTGGGAAAGAAAAGTAGTTTCGGGAATGTTGCTTATATACCTTGCATATCACGTTGTGAATCCAAATCGACAGAGGTTGGGAAAAGCTAGCTGAGACTCTCGAAGCAGGGAAGGCATGCGTTCGGGTAGTCGCAGCACGAATAACACCCCTTTTAGCTCGGTTCCAAAACTCCATTGAGTAACGCATGATAGGCGCATAGGAGAACTCATAGATCTGAATACCACTAATAGTAGCAGTAGATAAGGTACGACTGATGCAGGTAGAAATATGACGGGTGCACCAAACGGTAGCACCGATAACTCCAAATAAACATTGAGAGCCAAACATCTTTTTTCTTGGTTTTTAATTTTTTTTGTCACCATAACCAATTCCTTATAGGTTCGGCGAAGCGGGACCATTATGCGATTCCATGGTTGTTTCATTGGCATCACTTCCATCTCTGGTTCGACTAACGGTCCTGAATATTGTCAGGCGAAAAGTTGCAGAAATTGATAAGTCAGTTTTTTTGACTTCATTATATGATCGACTTTTAAGCGATATGTAGATCAAGGGCTACTCGCTCAAAGTTTGCCATTGTCTTTGATAAAGATTAGCCATTAATTTTGCCTTTGTCGTCTGGGTAAGGGGTTTCGACTTATTGTGTAGTGAATGAGGTTCTTAGTTGCTAGAGAAGTGGAGGTGGTCACTAAAAGCACTGGTTGTTCCACTCGAACTTGCACCCATGTAAATTTATCCTTAAAAACTCATTTAGTGGTCGAAGCGTTGCTTTTTCAGTTATCAATTCACGCACACAAAGCGAAGGCAGGCAATAATTGATTTCGGCAAGAAATATGCGGCAAACTTGACGTATGAGGACTTCTTGTTACGACTAATGATGTGCTAAAGTCACGGCAGGCTCCCAATGGGAAATTGCTGCATTTCAGGGTTCGTTTATCTCTCTATGATATTTAGTGTAAAAGATATAATTTATTGACCTTGTTAATCTAATAATAACATATATACTTGTATCATTTCCGCTATCAGTATGATCATCCTTTCATTCATAATTCTATTGTTTTTCTATTCGGGAATATGCAACAGCGTAGGTAAATGCACTCTACTCTTAACCTTCTGTTGAACTTCCATGCAAACGATTTAGTGATTTCATGGAAGTCCTCCTATGTTGCAGTGCAATAGCATAGTGTATAGATAACTCGCTGCAAAAGCTCGTAATTAATATCTCATTATGTGCTGAAGAAACTTCTGAAGTGACACTGCTTATCTCTCGTCACCCTAAGGCCTTTGCATTTGTTCATCCCTTGTTATATGGTTAATCGATACAAGCTTCCCTCTATATATTATACATTGTTGTGCATATATGTGTATGTGTCAACATCATCATGTGGCTTTTTGAATGATGCCTGGATTGTAACCTCGGTGTGCCTTCATCACCACCTCTTCGCATGGCAATTGGCCAGCGAAACGGTGTTTATTCAGATTCTAGACTTTTATTTATTAATGTTATTATTTTCATAGTTTTGCCTAATAAGTTGTATTAAAGAAACTGTGATGAAATGCAATAAATGTGATAAATTCTCCTTTTTATGACAGGGATATGAGGGGATCGAAACTTTTAGGTCCTATAAACGAAACCGCATGAGAGACCCAAATGTGCTCATGACGCTTTTCATTTAGAGGCACAGTTCAGATAAAAATGGTTTCTGAGATATTCTGCTAAGATAAATCCCTCAAGGATAGCACATGGGGCGCTGTCGCGTTGAAAACCTCGGCAGGGCGTTTTAAGGGCTACAAAAACGGTTTGGTCGACGTACACACCCAAAAATGGAAGTGGTTTATGACGGCTTTGTTAAGGCTATTCCATTCACAGTGAAGTTTTAGGACGAAGACGAATAGTACGTTCATCTGTTAAACAACCGGACGGTTAGCGACACAATCTCGTACAATTCCCTTTCCCAATACTCTTTTAAGCCTTATATTTCCTAAAATCCACCGTCTTTCGAGTTTTCTTCGCCATCTTAGCTAGATATCTCAGAATTATCGCGAACTGTGCATTTCGGCGCTTGGCTGATATGGAAAGTTAACTGCCAGGCATATGTATTAGGATGATCGAAGAGTCTTGATAAGAATGAGATTTCTTTCTGTTTTGTTTTTCAACTCAGCAAACAATGCAAGCTAATCTACAATATAATAACCATCGTTAGTTATAACATTGTCCTACTAACGGGCAGGTCAACAATTCCCTTCTCCCAGAACTGGGAAGATCGGGAGTCGAATAAATCACCGACCACTTGTTCAATGTGGTTATAGTTGACGAATTGTTTTTTGCTAGGAAAGCCTTTAGGGACCGGAACAAGTGGTAATAAGAAGGCAATACCAGAAGATAGGGTGATTGTGGACCGGTGTGAAAGTCCAGCTCCTCCAGTTTTGCACGGGCCTCTTTACCTATGTGAGGCTTGGCATTGTCATGGAGGAGGTGCACAGAAGTTTGTCTAGATCGTCTTTCTCGGACGGTTCCCGCAAGTTTGTGCAGCATACCAGCATAATAGGGAACAGTGACAGTGTAGCCTTGCCTGGGCAGTTCGTAGTACAGCATTCCTTCTGAATCCCAGAAGCAGCAAGGGCGAAACTTTTCGGGGTGGAGGCCGGATTTGGCCTGCATCGCCGGCTATTCTCCTCGCGGATGCCAGACTGCGCGGTGTTTGTTAGCGTCGTAGAGGAACCAGCTTTCATCATCAGTAACTAGGTTTCTAAGGAACTCCATGCGATAAGGGGGGCGAAGAAGGAGAGACTGATAAGCGGATACCCGGGTTTACCGGATGCTACTTATTTATTTATTAACAGACATGAAACACATGTGAACGTAGTGTAAACACAAAGAACCAAGCAACCTGAACAGAAACTTAAAACCGAACATCCGATAAACCATAAGA